TTCCGATGGGTCTTTCTTATCCGGTTAAAGTGGAGACGTTAGAATCGCTGCTTCCTCGCCGGCCGCCATGTTGGATCCCCCCTATTCATTTGTTTTAATGATATTTCTGTAACATTTTCTGGGAGTAAGCCCTGTTCTAATTACATGTAGTGACTACAAATTCACATAATTTTCATTACAAACTTGGGGGGTAGATGTTGTAACTATGCCCATCACACAGATAAGGAAATGGAGGCCAAGAAGTTCATTTGGAGAGTGGCTGAGTCTGGAGTGCAGCCTAGAAGACGACTCCCAGAATTTGTCCTTCTTATACCACAGACTGCCTTCTCCCTGCTCCTTCCAAACAGTAGGTAATTTGGGGTCTTTCTCTAACTAGGGCTCTTTTATCTCTATTCTTGGTCTCCAGGAAGGGTCCCTTAACTCTCAGGCAGAAATCTTTCTCAATGAAACAGAAGGCAAGGAGAAGCCTGTTGGTGGGGAAGTGTTTGGCACCTGCCAAATGAAGCACCATATCTGAGCCCACAGTGGAAGGGACGGGGCTGAAATTCAGGTTCAGGTGAACTCCAAATCTGCAAAGGCAGGACAGGGTTCTGGGCTCCTGTGATGAGCACCACAGCCTCCTTGAGGATGTGTCTGACCCTGACACTGTCCAGGCCAAACCTGGGCATAATTAGGGGGCAGAATAAGAGGGAAGTAGGAGCTGGATGTCTATTCTGATGGGGGCCCTGAATCTGGGCTCTCTTTTCTGGGGGTCATGAGTGAATAACAGAGAGATAGAGGAATGGCTTTCACACAGAGCTCCAGGTATGGGGAAAGGAAGAGCCTGGTGTTCTGGGCCGAGTAGAGCTGCTCTGTGGTTGGGGTGGGAAAGGAAGGAACATTTCCTTACCAGGGAACTCTAATGGTTTCCTGGTCTCACATCGTTCCCAGAAGAGCTGGAAGGAGCCCAGGCTCAGCTGTTTGTCAGTGTCTGGGTTGTGGGGGGCCCTCCACCCTGTTAGTATGATGAGCCAATAGGAAATGTTTGCTCCAGGAGGGGACTGCTGTCCAGCCCTGAGCCCTGCTCTCTATGCTGAGGTGCTGAAACTCTGGGCTGGACCTGCCTCCTGCCTCCAGGTTGTGGCCCTCATGTCCATCTCTCTCCCCAGCTCTAAAGATATGGAAGGGCACTGCAGTCGCTCCTTGCTCTGCTGTCTCACTTCCCTGATTCTCCTTGTCCAGCTGTCCACAACTGAGTGTCCTCATATGTCTCCCTTTGTGGTTTTAAAAAGCAAGATAGAAAAACATTTGAGGGCTGGGGATGTGGCTCAAGCGGTAGCGTCCTCTCCTGGCATGGCCCGGGTTTGATCCTCAGCACCACATACCAACAAAGATGTTGTGTCTGATGCTAACTAAAAAATAAATATTAAAATTCTCTCTCTCTCTCTCTCTTAAAAAAGAAAAACATTTGAAAATATATTTCCCTCATTTTTTGTTTTCTTGCCTTTTCTTGTGTGTGTGCTGCAAGCATTCATTCATTCATTTTATTCCTAAAATATTAATGAAATGTTGATTGCTAGGTGCTATTCTATGGAAGAATCAGACAGAAATCTTGTCATAAAGTTTACCTTCTGGCTGGAGAAAGTGATAATAATCTCAAGTAGGCAGAGAGGCGTAAATGTGTTGGAAAAGGTGACCACAATGGGAAATGCACCAGGGCAGGGTGTGAGCAGTCAGGGGCATGGGAAGCAGGTGTGGGCAGGCAGCAGTGTTCAGTGAGGTGGTGTGTAGATGGGAGCATAACCCTGGAGAAGGAGGAGTGAGCTGTAGGACCATTTGGAAGGAGGGTTCCTGCAGGGGGAGGAGCCTGTGCAGAGCTGGCAGTGTGCTGAGGTGTGAGGAAGCTCAGAGGCCAGTGTTGCTGGACTAGAGCCCATGGGGAGAGAAGAAGCAGGTGAGTTCAGAGGGGTCTTGAGAAGGAGGGTCCACCTTGTCAGGCCTGGGGAGCCATGTCGAGGCTTGGAGCAGAGCAGCAACATGGATTAGCTCACATGTTAAAAGGATCACTGAGGTCAGGAATCCTAGTCATCCTCCAGTTGAGATGTAATGGTGGCTGAGACCAGAGTGGAGAGGCACAGGCTTGAGAGTAGCTCTTTGGAGGTGTTGCAGCATATCCTGCACAGGAGTCATGTGTTAGCCTCAGAAGCCCAAGAAAACCAAGAGGGTGGAGAGTGATGTGAACTTGCTTCTTGAACATGCAGTGGTGGGGGTTTTCATGAATGACAGAGAACAGGATTTTTACAGCATTTAGTAGCATTTGACTCTGTATTTTAAAGTGCATATGTATTTCTCTCTTCCCTCAGTGGAGGATAAAAATTATAGACTGAAGTAAAATTAGAATTGGAAGAGGGTAATTTCCTGGGTGTGGCTGAATGACCAGTGTCTGATCTCACCGTAGGTGTGCACTTTGTCTCTTTCAGGTTTGTCCTGAGATAGGGAAATTTAGGCATGGTGTTCCCAAGGTGTGCTCTCCAGACCAACCTTGGAACTCCTTGTAAATGCACATTCATTGGCCCACCCCAGACCTAGTGAATGAGACAGTCTGGATTGGGCCCAGTGATGTGTGCTCTATAAGGCATCCTAGTGGTTCAGGTGCATGAAAGCTTGAGAACCACTGAATTAGAGATTACTTCATGGAAGGACCTGGGACCAAGAGCAGATGCCAGTGAGGGAGTGTCTTTGGCATCATTTTTGGGCCATATCACATAGTCAGGAGATCTCTTCCAAATATATCAAACCTCAGGGGTCATCTCATCTGGCCCCTGCTCCATCTTTTCTGGCCTTTCCACCTGATAGTATATGTTCTCTGTTTTTTGGTCTGTGTCTCTCTAGGTTTTTTCCCAATGTTGTGTCCACAGAACAGTTCCAGGTTATTAACCTTTATTGCCCCATTGTGGCAGTGTTGGGCAAGAATGCCATACTGCCTCGCGCCCTGGTCCCTGGCATCAATGCAGAGAAAATGGAACTGAGGTGGTTCCACACCACACTCTCACAGGCAGTGTTCATCTACTGGAACCAACGGGAACAGACTGAGGAGCAGATGGCTGATTATAGAGGGTGGACCTCACTGGTGAGCAAGTTCCTCACCCAGGGGCAGGCTGCTGTGCACATCCACAAGGTCCAGGTTTCTGACAATGGAACATACACCTGCTTCTTCAGACATGGAGGCTTCTCTGAAAAGGCTGATTTGGAACTAAAGGTGGCAGGTTAGTTAATCGATATCTATTCTGGAGACCTTGGGAGTACTGGGTTTGGTGGGAATATCAGGGATCATCTAATTTAGCCTCACATTCAATAGGTGAAATAGAGGAAAAAAGGGCTCATTCAGTTTTTTTATTGATCAATACAAACACTGTATATTGGACATCTCAAATATGGGAGCACTTGTTCTGTGCACCAGAGATATATCAGTATAGCATAGACCCCAGCAGTGAGTTTACCTCCTAAAGACAAAGGAAGAATAATTATAATAAATAATTCAGTACAACATGTGATAAGGTGAGATAAGAAGATTCCAACATGGTGGCGGGCACGGAGAGATCAAGTCTCTGACCTCTTCAGCTGTGCGTGCATAGGGAATCGTAAACAATCTAAATTATGTTTGCTCAGGATCACTAGGCAATGCTGAGCTGACGTGGATCTGGGGTGAAAAGTCTGGGCCTCTCAGAACACACACTGCGCCCAGATCGGCTGAATTCAAGCTCCCATTCGCCTGCTTCCCGCAGACAAACAGCTGTGACTCAGCACTAATCCACATGGCTGAAACAACTGGTCAGCCCTTCTGATCCTACTGAGGTAAATGCCAACCGAGTCTTCATAGGTAGTGGCCGCAGGTTTGAAACAGGGCCTGGGAGAGACAGTAAGGACCCACCCGTTGCATTGGTCACCCAGCAAAGGGAAATGAACTGACGCCATTTGCAAGAGATACCACCATGGCAGAGAAGTGATGTAACCAGACTGCGGTGGAGGAGATAACTTCATTGAAACCTGCGGCTACAGCATCAAATAAATTTATAGGAGTAAACAGTAACTCAGAAATCAAACAGAACAAGAAGAAACATGAGCAGCTTGAAAAAGCAAGGAAGAAAAGGAGTACAAACAATGCAGGACAGCCTAAATATTCAGGAGGACCTAGAGTCATCAGAAAAATGGTCATATAAAGAACTCAAGGAA